GGCTATATTATTTTTTTATTTTAATTTCACGCGGACGAAATCGCGAGGCACAGTTAGTAACATTTGTAAAATACTAATAGCACTTGTAATAAAGTATATGTACGCTTTATTTACTTAATGCTTTTTAATCTTATGAGTTGAATATCTAAATCGTGGTTTCTGGTGTATAAAACGTGACATTACTTAATTTTTATATATTGTTTTTGTTTTAAATGTACATTAAAACATAACCTTTCAGCAATCTTTAGAATCAACATATATTACTTAAAATTTTTTGCTGCAATATACCTTTATTAATAGTAACTGACGTTGTCTAAGAGCGGGTGTACACCTTTGACTTAACTATAGCACAACTGTTGTGCGATTGTCGATTGTTTCGCAGCCAATTCAACTGTTTAGTTGCACAACTAAAAATCGAGTAGTGTGTACCTCCATGTAAACTCATAGGAATCAATGCTCGACTATACAGTTTTGTGATAATTCAGACAATGGTGTGGGCGTGCTCTGATAACTACGTGTTTAAAAGAAAAACTACAGCCACTAGTTTCCCAAGACTCTTTGTTATCAAAGTAGTTGTACAAAATACCAAACATATTTCATATTTATAAACACTGCAATAGATTATATTATCTAAGAGTTAGTGATGCGCATCAGTTACGTGGCGAATGTGCCGCTTGTGTTATGTAGCGTATCTGACACCTATCATTCTAACTTGGATCCCTTTAACTGTAGTACGTAGAATTAATAGAAAACACCACCTACAACATGTAACATACCATAACGACATGTTGCCTACCCTTAATGGACTGAGAAGGAGACACATAAAGAGGATATTTCCCTTTCCTATTTTTAGACAACTTATTTTATTGTTACTGTCGCTTTAAACTCAGAGCAACACTTCTCGTCGTGAACTCGGGTTGCGCGCCAATATCTCCATACTTCTAGTGACATTGACAGCTGTCAGCTAGGGACGTGACGTTTATGCCGATAATCTAGAGCTGCGCCAATTCTACATCACGGTACTAATTTTGTTCTTAACACTATGCGTTTCCTTAACCGTCAAACCCACGTTCCTTTCCCATCCAATTCGTATAAGAAAAAGGGTGGGGAGAAAAAGGGAAGAAGTTGGACCGGCACCATACTAGTCAGACGAAACGTGAAATTGCTCCCACTTCATTGTCTTTTGTGTGGTCGTGGTATTGCACCGGGCGAGCCGACCCATTCGTGCGAAAATGTTAACGCTGGCTAAGTTTGACAGCTGCTAAACTAAATGGATACCAACTTTTTGTTCTTTTGTTTCGATGCTCGATTGTTCATAATTCCAAGAACCTAAATCAAATCAATATCATGGTATAATTCTAATCACATATTGATATATTTACGGCGAATTGAATTCATTATTACACATATCATCTAACGGGTCCGCGCTCCATATTATAGTCCTGAATATTCATAGCGTGTGTTACCAGGTAACGGTAAGTAGGTGGTCTCATATTGGGTTAGAGCTGGCGCACACATTTGACTAAACTATCGTACAATTGTTATACGATTGTCGATTGTTTCGCAGCTAATTCAACTGTTTAGTTGCACAACTAAATATCGAGTAGTGTGCGGAGTAAAAGCTCATAGTAATCAAAGCGACACTAAACAGTTGCTATATATATGTGTAAATCGTGTGTGCACTCTTAATATAGGCGACGGGATGTTGTGATGTGAATTCTGAGTACCACCGTCTAGGGAATATGTATGTTAATGTATATGCTAAGGGAAATATTTATATTAATGAATGTTAAAATTATAATCGACGCATTGCGATATGATTGCGACGAGACTATGGGGACATATACCAGAAAGTATTAAGATTATTCAATCTACATTCGTGGATGGCTACAAAGGTAGAAGAACTTCGGAAGACCGAAGAAAGTATGGTTGGATTGTATGAAAGAGGATATGCTTAAGAAAAGAGTAAATTCAGATATGATGGCTGATAGATATGGAAGAGCAGCACATACTGTGTCGACCACGTAAGGGATAAGGGCAAGTGGACGATGATGCATTGCGATAAACGTTTTCAAAATAAGTTGCTAAGTTCTATGACGAAATAGGTTGAAAGCAAACTAGCTTTTTTAATTTTAAAATAATAAGTGTATGGCGAAGTTATTTCTATAAAAAATGTTACAGGATCTATCATCATTTAGTAAAAAAGATTTAAGTAATATTTTCAATCTCGGAATTTATTGAAAAAGGTTTATTATTATTAACGAAATATACAGGATGTTTATTTTATAGAGTACATGTTACGTCATTGAAATTGAAATAAAATTATTACATCTCTCTTTCGTATATATTCGAATTTAATTTATCTCCCTTAGATTTAGAACTTGAAACCATTACTAATGGTCTTCCTTAGTAATCCATCAATAAATCTAAATAGGGTTGGTTTTGCTAAAAGTAAGCTAGCAGCAACACTGAAATTGATATTTGGTAATTCCTTAGTGATTCATTAATGACTCAGTAAACGCTTATCTTATTCAAGGCATTCAGTGTTTGTCATTTTATCTTCCTGACATGAGTCAGTACTTCAAATAATTTTATTAATACATTGCCACCATATTAATTGACATTGCCATTCTAATTTTGAGTTTACACTATACACAAATGTACAATAATATGTTATATTTGTCTGTATTTATAACACTAGCTGTAGCTCGCGACTTCGTCCGCGTGAAATTAAAAAATAATAAAAAATTAAAGCCTTACTCACTGATAACGTAGCTTTTCAATGGTGAAAGAATTTTTTTTTTATAACATAAGGTAGCAAACGAGCAAGCGGCCACCTAAATCCACCAAAATGGCGAGGCGACTGCTGCCCATAGACATCCGCAATTGCAGATGCGTTGCCTACCCTTATCGTTGCCTACCCCTCGAAGAGGAGATGCACATAAAGAAGATATTTCCCCTTCCTATGCATCTCCTCCACCGCCAAATCCACTTCCCTTTGCCATCCTCTCTTTTAAGAAAAGGGTGGCAAAGAGAAAGGGACTTAAATTAGGCCTCCGGCACCACACTCATCAGACGAAACACGGAATTGCTTCAATTTCACGGCTGTCTTCAGTGTGGTCGTGGTATTACACCGGGCGTGCCGGCCCATTCGTGCTAAGATGTTAAAGCGGGCACTACCACTGTCAAAACTGTGTCAACACTGTTTTGAAATCGGTCCAGTAGTTTTTGAGTTATTTCAATACATGCAAAAATATAAATCTTTCCTCTTTATTATATTACTATAGAAGATAACATCGAATCGCCAATACCATAATGGATAAAGGTACGAATTTGCGATCATAGTCGAGATAATAATACTACCTCGACTATTGTCTTATCTGTAACCTAGAACAAGCCTAGAGCTTTTTTGGAATGGTACAGTCAGCTCCATAGATATGTACACACTCACAGAATTTTAGAAACTTGTATAGGCCTACGGTTTCAAAAATAACACTAATTTATAATAGGTAGTTTGCAGACGGATAGGTGCACTTATATTTTTAAACCCAAAGCCTATAAAAGCCTATAATAATTTCTAAAGTTCTGTAATTTTATATATGTTTATGCGGCTGATTGTACAAGACAATAAGGTGACAAAAACCTGCTTAACATAATATCCTAATAAGTTTTTAATAGGCTGTATCCATTACCTTTAAAATATAATTAACTCACTTAGGACTACGTTTTATAGGTCAAATGTCTGAGTTCCGGTTTATGTGACGTAATGCTGGTGTGCATAAATATCAAATGCATACGTAATCTGAATTGCCTAAAAGATATTGCGTACAAGTTGAATGCAATCCTTTTTATATGCTATCGATTTAGTAACTAACAATAAAAAATGACATAAATATTAGTGCTGATATAAACCAGTATACAGGGCGATCAATAAATTGATCAAAAACGTAGTTTTTTTTTAAATATCGGCAGATCTTTATTAATTTACTTGCCGTTACCCGCGACTTCGTCCGCGTGGTATTAGAAAACATATGAACTATATAAATAACAAAAAGCTACGTATTCCTCGGGAACAGGACATTTCTAGGGTATGAACCTTATCCCACGTGTACTCCAGACTTTGTTTTATATCTGTGCCAAATTTCAATTACATATGTTGAACCATTGCAGATTGATCGAGTAAACATTAAAAAACCAAATCAATGAATCCCACGGAAACCGTAACTATTCCTGGGATAAAAAGTAGCCTATGTGTTCTTCCAGACTATGCTCTAAACCTGTGCCAAATTTCATGGAGATCCGTTCAACCGTTTAGGCTACAAACGCTAAAAAACATTCATCCATCCGTCGTAACTTTCGAACATTGTTTATATGACTAATATTTCCTTTAACCAATCCGACTAAGCTCTAGGCTTGCTAGGATATAGTGCACGACAATAGTCGAATGGCGGGATTCGATCCCTCGACCTCATGATCGGTAGTCCGTACCGCAAACCATTAGGCTATTGTAGCTTAATAGCGCGTAGTGGAGGTAAAGGACTAGCTGTCCCCGCGGCTACGTCCGGGCATAACTTCGTCTGATAAGTGTGGTGCCGGAGGCCTAACTTTAGTCCCTTTTCCTTCCCATCCTTTTCTCTTAAGAAAAGTGAATTTGACGGTGGAGGAGACGCATAGAAAAGGGAAATGTCCTCTTTATGTGCGTTTCCTCCTCCGCCAATTAAGGGTAGGCAACGCATCTGCAATTGCGGATGTTTATGGGCAGCTGTCGCTTTCCATTTCGGTGGATTTTGGTGGCCGCTTGCTTGTTTTCCACCTTATAATATAAAAAAAATATAAAAATCTAAGACTAATTACATTTGTCTGTGTGTTCCAAACTATGTTTTACATATGTTTTTAGTAACAAACATCCAACCATCCATCCAAACTTCATTTATAATATTAGTAAGTTAATTTAAGCATCATATTAAGTTCAGTACTAAAAGTAAGTTTTTTGTCAACAGGAACTCACAACGTGGTTACCATTGGTGTTGGCTGTCCTCACATTTGCAACTCCAGGTATTTTTTTTATTATTTAATACTGTGATTATCTTATTTGTAATATTTCGTCATCAATGTAAACAGGGCCAACATTAAAGGGTGAATAAACAATCCGTAACAATAATAATGGATAGAATACTCAAATTTCGGTAGACCATTTTATAATATTTTTTCTGAAAAATCAACTAGTGACTAGTGCGTAAATCTATACTAAAGATTTGTGTTTTTGTATTTTACAAATTCTTTAATTATTATATAAATATTAGAATTTAAAATATAAACATTAGAATATTTAAATTTTTTTTTGCAAAATATACCTACGTTATCAGTAACATAGTATACATTGATTATAATTTTTATTTCCGCGCCGACGAAGACGCGAGCATCAGCTAGTAAACAGACAAAACGATACGCATTATATTCAAATAGATTTTTGTGATTATACAATGTATTGGAGTCGTAAACTTTCATTGCCGCTTCTCAAGCGGGTAAAAAGGCAAACGAAGGTTAAGCCACGTTTTATCGAGAGGTAAAGTGAATCTTAGACAATGCGCTATTGTCGACCACCCACCGGTTACCGGTGCGTTGGCCTCTACAATACAAATGAAGAACAGAAAATGCATAGTTCTTTAGATTTTATGTATATTTTAGCTATTTAAGAAATTTGTCTTCTCTACCCATTTAGTATAAGAGTAGTTTATAGTTTTTATTAAAGTTAAATTATTATGTGCTAGGTTTCTTCCGCGACTCCGTTCGTTTGGATTTAAAAGAAAACAAAAGCAAGTAGCCTATGTGTTCTTCTAGACTATCCTCTACATGTATTCCAAATGTCATCGAGATCCGTTCAGCAGTTTAGGCTACAATCTCTAACAAACATCTTCCCAAGCTTTTGCATTTATAATATTAATAAGATTAGTATATTTTGATGACGCGATTAATTGTATTTTGTAGATTAATCTTTATTCGTATTTCGTGTACTATTTTGTCAAAACATTTACTAATTGATCCTTGTTGCCAACGCCTAGTTATTTTAATGCATAACAAATCTTGTAGAATAATTATTCATTCAATCAAACATAGAGTCATTTATGAAGTATTTCAGGAATGTTGTCTTTACGCTTGAATATTTTAACTATGTTATTAATAAATATTACGAAGCTTTTGTACTAAGTATCTGTGCTTAAAGTTTAACATAAATATTGTTTTTTCACAGTTTTATCAGCGGAACCCCGCGTGGTGTGTTACTACACTAACTGGTCGGTGTACCGACCGGGTACAGCGCGCTTCAACCCCCAGAACATCAACCCTTATCTGTGCACGCATTTGGTCTATGCTTTTGGTGGATTCACCAAAGATAATACATTCAAGCCCTTCGATAAATATCAGGATATTGAAAAAGGTGAGTTAAATTGAAAATATAAAACGTTTGTTGTAATTTGTATTCGTAACTCATATTATAAATAAATAGAATATAAGTGAAGACACTGGGAAAACTATTTCATTTCTTCTCCAGTTTTTCTATAATGTAAAAGTGTAAACGAACGTCAAAAGACGTTATTAAGTTACTATGTAAGAATGATCAGTTACATCTCGTTGATGTCTTTTATATTAAAAAAATGGAAAGCTAGTGCAGCATAAAACTTAACTAGACATTTTGTTGAACTTAAATAACATATATTCCTATTCCTATTCCTAGGTGGATATGCCAAGTTCACGGGCTTAAAAACCTACAATAAGAACTTAAAAACAATGCTGGCCATCGGTGGCTGGAACGAAGGTTCCAGCAGGTTCTCCCCCATGGTCGCGTCTAGGGATCGGCGGAAGGAGTTTGTAAGGAATGCGATTAAGGTAAGTTTAAATGCGTATACATTTTTTAGATAAAATAAAATCGTTGCTAATTACATAAAAGACAATCTACATCTGTATTTTAATGCAAATGGTAGATGATAGTCATGAGAGCTTTAAAGTTACATTTAAAATCAATCGAAATGGAGAAAAACTTTAGTAAAACAAACATAAGTCTATGTATACCAGATTTTCGGACTAATTACAAACTATACATGCTGATAAATAAGATTCCTAGACACTTAATTTTATTCATATTAAAAAGGACATATTGCAAATACTCGTTAAACTTTACCAAAACAACGTTAATAAATGAAAATTATATTCTGTTTCCTTAATATTCAACTAACTACATCCTCAAATGGCGTTTAAGTAACTTATTTCCTGCCCTCTATTAGGCAAAGTATCATAATTCCAAATAAAGACAAACAAGTAAGGAATGATTTCCGTTTTCAAAGTCAAGTTAATATTAAAAACATATGAAAGGAACTTGTTCTTTAAGTAGCATCTAAATAAGTACTTGTACTTTCTCTGCGTTCCAAACAAGTCGACCAGGTAGAGCAAGGGACTTAGACATTTGCTGCTATGAAAGCATAAGTTATCTTGTTCAATTATTTCTGTTAGTATGAAATTGGTTTAAAATTATAGCAAGTAATGTTTTAACATTGACACTCTTTGGTTTAATAAAACTTTCTAATGAATACATTTAACCGAAAGCTTGTATTTCATAAATAATGCTTACTTTAAGATAGATTAATTAATGTTGATCATGTTTCTTTTGTTAATTTAAAATGTTCTGTTGTTTTAAGATCTTACACAATTATTTTACAAAATGACGTCAGTTTTATTCTAAAACTAGCTTTCGACCGCGACTCCGTCCGCGTGGAGTTCAAAAAACAAAAGTTAGTAGCTTATATGTTTTTCCAGACTATCCTTTACGCCTGTGCCAAATTTCATCGAGATCTGTTCAGCCGTTTAGGCTACAAACTGTAACAAACATCCATCCATCCAAATATTCGCATTTATAATATTAGTAAGATTACATAACTATCAAATGGAATTTCTTGTCCGATAACAATATCTTTAAGCTTTGAAATATACTTAGCCACGCCTCATTCACGTTATATCAATATTACATAACATTTGAGAGTCAATATAACTTTATTGTATAATGTAAAATGAAAGACAATGTAAATTATATAACAAGAATTAGTTGAAACAATATCGTTGTAGTCAAAAATAAATACAAGTCTTGGATTAAATCTTTCGTTATTCTATTAATTCTATGCCTTTTAAATTTAAATGTTACCAGATCATTCTGAAGGAACTGTTAAATTACAATTTAATCTTCGTAAGATACGGGTTTCTTACCACGATTGAATTGTTTTAGCTCCCGATATTTCGGCACAGTTGGATGTGCCATGTTCATGGTCTGACTATGTCCTTTCAGTATCTTACGAACATTATATTTGTAAAAACCACGACAATTTAAAGTTATATACAATTTAATCCATTAAAGTAAGGCGTAATATATGTACATCGGCGAATTTCTAAAAAACTTAATTCCATAATTTTCGTTACAGTTTCTAAGACAGAACCACTTCGATGGTCTCGATCTGGACTGGGAGTACCCGGCGTTCAGAGACGGCGGTAAACCTAAAGATAGAGAGAACTATGCAAAACTTGTCCGGGAACTGAGAGATGAATTCGAGAGGGAATCGGAGAAAACTGGCAAGCCTCGTCTACTGCTTACAATGGCTGTACCAGCTGGTATTGAATACATACAGAAAGGCTTCGACATTGAAACGTTAAACAAGTAAGTATTAGTAATAGTAAGTAGTAGTAAGAATCCCTGTAGTTTTTATTTAGAAGTCAAAACTGTCTTCTCCATACATCTCCATCAATCGTAATATTAGATTCAAATCCTACACACATATTCGCTTTTTCACAATTCATTAACACTTAGAATGTTTAATTTTATACATTTGTACAATATGTAATTTTTATAAGTAAGGTGATTGTAGCTTATTGCAATGTAATTATAATTGCTAAACCATACTTATGTTATCTTCGTAATAATGCTTGTATATATTACAGCAATCATACATGTAATAACACTTTGTTACAAACAAATCGTATAATTGTGAGTTCTGAAACTTTTGAGTCTAATATTTTTGTCATTAGAAAGGCATATTTAGTTTTTATGTTGACATTTCGTCCAAATTTATAAATCATTAATTACAATGATCAACTTTTTTGTAACCGTCACTCGTTAACTTCCTCAATTAAAAACCTCTTAATATAAATAAATTTAATGATCTATATTTGAATTCTATCTAATTCAATATCTCCAAGTTCATCTAGGCAAACATTAGTAAACATTGATCATGTTAGAAACTTGTCAAACTTCTCTGCGACCTTGACGTGTTTCGTCGATTAGATCAAAGAGACATGCAAATGTAAAGACAACATGAGCCTACTCGAGCTCACGTACTTGCGACATACATCAAACTCGCATCAGCCACCGTTACCTAACTCCCTATGCCAATGTCATATTGCTTCATCCAACGGGTAACGTATAAACGTGGTTGACAAACAAACAATTGCGATCTTAGATACTTAAGCTATTGGTGTACAATATTATTAGGAAGAAATCAGTCTACATATACACGTAAGATACAAAAAAATTATAACATAACAAAAGAAAGGTGACCAATACCTTCCACAGTACGCGATCTTACGCCCTCCGCAAAATGACTTCCCGCCGTTTGCATTGTAGTGGAGTTTGGTTGGGTAGAAAACCTGAACTCATTTAAAACTAGCTTCCGCCCGCGACTCCGTCTGCGTGAAACTAAAAAAAAAACAAAACTGAGTAGCCTATGTGTTCTTCCAGACTATACTCTACATCTGTACCAAATTACACCGAAATCCATTCAGCCGTTTAGGCTACAAACTCTAACAAACATCTATCCATCCATCCATCCATCTAAATTTTCGCATTTATAATATTAGTAAGATTCATTGTATTTATAGTTTGATTAGTTATTAAAATAGAATTTTATCTATGTCTGTGTTCCACTATTATGATAAAGTTTATTGTTCATGCAAGCGTGAGTCACGCGTGTCTAGCTATGTTTGCTATGTGGTAATCTTAATACGGCGACTGGAACGTCCGCAAACAATAGCACCGAGGCTGCATGCATGTATGAGGGCTGCTGAGTGTGCAACTGCAATTTTAACTTATTGCGTCACAAGTGCTTTAAGTGATGAATAAGTAATGTTCTATGAAAACAAAAGTAACCTTCTAGGTTACCAAACAAAAGTGACGTTTGCATTTTAATCCTTTGATGATTTTTTCTTTTTTTAAAAAAAGAGAAACCAAATAAGTAGTGGTAACACCAAATTTTTTATTTGTACTGCTTACTTATAATTCTTTGAAAGAATTTTAGTCATTGTATTACAAATAAAAATCCCTCATTATTATTAACTAGCTGTAGCGCGCGACTTCACCCGTGAAATTAAACAATAAAAATATAGCCTATACTAGCCACTAATAACGTTGCTTTTTAATGGTGGAAGAATTTTTAAAATCGGGCCAGTAATTTTTGAGTTATTTCAATATATACAAAAATATAAATATTTCCTCTTTGCAATATTAGTATAGATTATATGTATTTAAAAAATGTAAGCTGCAGGTTAGTTAGTCTTGAGACACCCTCTCAGAGATAATTTACTTCCTCACTTGTATACTTACTTAAGTGAATGTATTCTTAAACCATATGTAGTGAGCATACAACTAAATATTCTTCGGTCTGATTATTTTCTGTTTCTTAAATAAAACGTCTTACGTGTACGCGTAGCCACGACAAACGATCTAACGAGCATTTGAAATAACAAAGGATGCATTTACTATTGTTTATATCTTTTTTATGAAAATTTAACACAGATTATGCGGTTGCTAAAGGTTTTTAGAAGGACGTTTATACTGCTTCTCGGAGACATGTAACTGAAGGGACAAATATTAAAAAAACATGCGCACATCTGAAACTAAACTGTTTAGTCCCATTTTGAATTATATGAGCTTATATGGAGGTGCGCACACTACTTGATTTTTAGTTGAGCAACTAAACAGTTGTATTGGCTGCGATACTATCGACAAACGACGTTCAAAATAGTTGTGCGATCGTTTAGTCAAAGGTGTCCCACTCTAATTATCTAATGGTTATAAAATATTAAAAAATGGTTATAAATTATAAAAATTATAAACATGCTCTGTATCTTGCATTGAAATAACAGAGATAACTATTGAAAGCTTAATAACTTTTTTTTCTATAGTTGAACACAAAATTATATAATCTTACTGATAGTAAGTAGTAATTTAATTTTTTCATGTAATTACAGATACTTGGACTGGATGAATCTGCTATCGTATGACTACCATTCGGCGTTCGAGCCGGCAGTCAACCACCACGCGCCGCTCTACCCGCTAGAGGAACCCAACGAGTACAGCGTCGACAACGAACTTAACATCGTTAGTATTATTTGATAGTAGCTGTTGCTCGCGACTTCCACGAGGAGTTTAAAAAAACAAAAATAAACTGTCAATGAGTTTTTCCAGACTATCCTCTACATCTATGCCAAATTTCATCGAGACCCCTTCAGCAGTTTAGGCTACAAACTCTAACAAACATCCATCTAAACATTCGCATTGTTAATATAGTACTAAGAATTAGTAAGATTAGTGTAGTTTTTATTTATATTTTGCCAAATGCTGAGTTGATAATATTCAGGTAACTAGACTTCTGAGAGCATTTTTCCATTGTGTTTTTAATTAAACTTACTGATACTTAAGTCGTGTTTCATTTGCACATGGAATTAATGAAATTATAATTATTCCTTTTACAGGATTATACGATAAAATTCTACTTAGAGAATGGCGCTGACCGCAACAAGTTAGTGCTCGGTATACCAACGTACGGACGCTCCTACACGCTGTTCAACCCTGACGCAGTCGAGATCGGCTCGCCCGCTGACGGCCCCGGGGAACAGGGGGATGCGACAAGAGAGAAGGGATACTTAGCGTACTACGAGGTAAATTAATCTGGAATCTTCTAAAATTGTTAAGTGTTTTTTATACACTTGTTTTTAAATAAGTGGAGTTTCCGCATAGCTTATATCATCATTATAAATCTAATGTTTTGAAATGGGCAAATACATGTTTTGCGTTAGAAAAATATGTAAATTGCAAATCTTGTTATTCGGTTGACAAATAACCGGTTATTGTGATAACTTGGTTGCGAAATATATACATGACTCATGAATACACTTAATAAAAACCTGATAGCTTCTCGAATGAAACAAAAATTTAAATTGAATTGTAATAACGACTACAAGAATTTGCTTTTAAATATACCAATTGCATCATCTTTCTCTTTATGCTACTCCCGTAGGGTCGGCGCAATAGGTTCGAGTCCACCAAATAACTCTATCATACGTCATCTCAGTCATCCCCTTTTTGATCATGTCGCCTTTCATACAATATACCTATTGCATGCGTAAAGTTTATGAAGTAGATTATTGCCTTCATATAATTAAATAAAAATATAACATGATTAATATTCTCAGATTTGCGAAGCTCTCAAGCCTAAGCAGAAGAAGCGCAGCATCAGCTCTGACTCAGAGGAATATTCAGATGAAGAAGAAGAGGAGGAGGAAGAATGGACGGTGATGCACCCCAACCCCACCGCGATGGGTCCCGTCGCCTTTAGAGGCAACCAGTGGGTCGGGTACGACGACATCGATATAGTCAAGAAGAAAGCAGAGTATGTCGCGGAAAATGGACTAGGAGGTTAGTCTATAAAGAATTATTTCATTACGTAAATATTGTAGTCACTTATTTTTTTCTTCGCAAGTCATTTTCAACATTTATGTTTCCAAATTTTCTATTTCTTTCTACGTCATTTATACATTTTTCAATAAATAAGCTCAAATAAAGACGTTTCTTATATATTTGATTTTTTTATCCTAAATCTAAAATAAAACTCGCCTAAAAGTAAAATGATTATTTTTTAAATTATACATTTCTTTTAATTCTATATTCATTATATTTACAGGTATTATGTTCTGGTCAATCGACAACGATGACTTCCGCGGCAACTGTCACGGCAAGCCTTACCCGCTGATAGAAGCGGCCAAAGAGTCATATATACAAAAACTTGGGTAAGTTACAAAATTGTACGAAACTATTAAACATTAGCTTTTGCTCCTAACTCCGTCCATGGGTAAATAAAAAAAACAAAAGTATCCTATATGTTCTTTCAGAATATCCTCTACATCTATGCCAAATTTCATCAAGGGCCTTACAATAGTTTAGGCTACTAACTCTAACAAACATCCATTCATCTAAACTTCCACATTTGTAATATTAGTAGGATGTTATATTAACAATTTATTTAAAAGTATAACTAATTATAATTTTATTGTTTAGGTCGACAGATAACATCGTCGTGTCCGAGAAGCCGAAATCACGCGGCAAATCTGGCAGGAGGAATAAACGACCGCGCACCACGTCCACTACCACCACTACTACAACGACCACTGAGAAACCATCTACTAGGTATATATGCACTAGTCAAGTCATGGTCAATGAGGTTTAGTCAAGTCAAGCATAGTTGACTATGGTCAAGTCACCTAATATAACTTAAAATCCATGTGTCTGTTACCATAGACATATCTATACAATAGTGTGTAGTTTTCAGATGTCTGGCTTTAAAACAGGAGACAGAATGTATCTACGGAAAAATATCCGCCTCTACATTCTCTCCCTCGCAATACTTCACTTCTTGAAGCTAGAAGTTAATATTGTAATTAATTTTAGAAGCAGCAAACGTAAGAGTGGATCAGCCACGAGCACTACACCCGCCTGGAACGTCACTCCTGAACCACCGACAACTCCTGACCCTGGATCAGGTACACAATCATAATACTTCACACTTTATATGCATCTCACACTGAATATACCAAATTATTTTCAGTTCTTATGTTCTTATATTTTTTTTAATTAAAACAAATGACATACGTAATGATGATATTATTCCATTTGCAGACTTTAAGTGCACAGACGAAGGGTTCTTCCCACACCCACGCGACTGCAAGAAATACTTCTGGTGTCTCGACTCCGGTCCCTCCGACCTCGGCATCGTCGCCCACCAGTTCACTTGCCCTTCAGGTATACCCTACGTACTCTTGATTCTACACTCAAGTTGACAGATAGGCAAAAATCAGTCGCTTAAGCTACTCACTAATGTTGGAACTCTGGTAGAAACCTTTCGAGTAATATTAAAAATGTGTTCAATGCTTTTTAATTGTCTCTGGTAGAAACAGTAAACAATTTAATCTACATTCCAGAGTCTATAAAGAGGTTATACATTAAATGTTTGCAAGCAACCTTATGTTTTATTTTTTAATTTCCAGGTCTATATTTCAATAAGGCAGCAGATTCTTGTGACTTTGCGCGCAACGTGCTTTGCAAAGTAACCGCTGCTACAACCAAGGCTCCCACTAAAGCGCCTACCACTCGGACGACCGTCACCACCACCACAACCACTACAACACGCAAGCCTTTGAGGATCAGCACCCGCAACTCATTGCTGTTTAGAACAACAACCACTACACCTGCACCTCAGGTAATGTTTTAATCGTTTATCTGTAGAATTTAGGATGTAATTGAATAATTGGTTATCCGTATTAGTACCAGTCTTGTATACTAGCACTGAATGTATTTAGTTTTTAAAGGACAGATTATTGTCCAGACCAGACCAGTCCGGATTACAGATGGAGACTGTTTAATAATATTCTATAGGACTCCGTTTAAAAATTTCTTTGCCATTGTCAAAAATAGCGTTTTTATTTCTTTAATTCAGGTTGAAGAAGAATATGAAGATGAGGACGAAGAAGATAACGCAACGGATGATGCAGAGGATCCTAAAGTTATCAAGGAACTAATTGAATTGATTAAGAAAGTCGGTAAGTAAATCACACACCTTATAATGTACTCGTATTGTAAGTAAATTGATAAACAGATCTAACAAGGTGATGTAAAAATGTCATTAAATTCAGTGCAATGTCTACTAAAGCCCAATACACGAACTAACGACCAAATTTGAATGACCGTGTTCATAAATGCCAGCAGTTTTTAAATTGACTAATTTTGTCAATGCAGGTGGCGTGGAACAGTTGGAGAAGCAGCTGGGCTTGTCAGAGACTTCCATCAGCACCAGTAGTGATGTAGCGACAAGCACACCCTCGTCCTTCAACAAAAAACTTTACCAGAAAGTCCTGGAACGAGCCCGAGGAAGGGGCAAGTAAGTGAAAATAAGAAATTTATTATTACAGTTTTTAAAAAGATAGGATATGCAGTTTATTATTAAAAATAAAATGCTTGTTTTACAGATTTAACACAAATGGTGTTACTGGCAGTTTGTCACAAAACAGTCGTAGCGGACCTCAGAACGAAGGCCTTCAGCCAACCGCGGACCAAGATCGATTTCTAAAAAAAGATAGACCACAGTTAGTATGCAATTTATATTCCTTACAAACCGTTATGGTTTAAGGCATTAACAACTACACATATCAAAGATTAAATATAAATATTTAAAATTTTTATTACATAGATACGTCACCATTAACCGTTCTCGACCCCCGACATCGGTGACAACTGAGAACTCTCTGGAGAGTGAGGAGATCGAAGACGAAGAAGAATCAGAGGAACAACAATTAACGCGGGGCCGATCTGCTGGAGGACAATCTAAAGTAGCCACCACAAGCAAACCTCTCCAATATGTTAATATCAGACGATCCAGACCTACGACAACTGTTCCTGATACTGCTGATGATTCAGGGTCCAGGTAATTTACTTGATAAAAACATGAAATGTGGACATTATGTCAAATTCGTATATATGGATATTTTGAAAATGTGGTTCATGTAATCGTATTGTTACTTTTAGGAATAATGCTCTATTTGAACGTGTCGAGCCGTATGTATCCGTGTCGGAAGCAGTCAACTCTCTGGACATTACCAGTGCTAGGAGAGAGAATGTTCCCGAATATGTGACAATTAGAAGAACTCGCCCTACCTCTGAAACGACTACTGCGCAGTAAGTTTTTTTTCTAGATTCTGTATTATTTTACTTATTTAATGCACGTATATTGAAAAATCTATTTTTTTTTCTAGATATCAGAATTCAGAAACTGAAGTTGAATCTCAGGAATCTGCTTTAGAAAGGGAAATCACTTCTCCATCTTTACAACCACAGTATACTTCAGTATTGAGAATACGATCAACCACTCTTCCTCCTCTCGAGGAGTCAAGCAGCCCTGAGCCTACGACGGTCCTCGCTGTTCAGATTTCATCCTTATTAAATTCTCCAACGGCTGCAGAAATACCTTCATCTGAGCCTTTGTCATCCATTTCTATAACAACTCAAGAAATTGAAGTCCCTACAACTACCGCTACAAGTCCTACTACAACAACCTTGCCAACAACGCCATCTACAACTGTAACAACTGAAATTCCTTCAACTACGACATCACGTCGGAATGGCTTGAGACGTCGTGGGTCTACAACAACTTCAACGGCAACAACATCATCTCCAACTTCAACAACACAGGTGAGTTCTAGGAATTATAATTTTATACGTCGTCGTAAGCCTTTATCTACGCCTAATGAAATAACATCGGAATCGGAAGAAAATGTAGTTTCTAGGAAAATCAGGTCAACTACACCAAACAGTCGAGAGGTCGAGGGTATAAAACAAAACAGTGAATCGGCACGAAACAGAAGATTTAGGATTAGATATCAACCTTCAGTAGACGATTCTTTACCTGCCGCAGCATCGCCAGTGTCTGCAAGTAATTTTGGGGAAAAGTTTAATGTTGACGAAGGTCTCTCTTTAACATCTGTTGATATTGATGCTCCCATGTTTGTGAGAAGAGATACAAACAATGAAGATATCGATGAAGAGACTTCTTCAACTGAAATCGATGAGGTTCCAGAAGATAGCGAAGTTTCAGCTACCACTGTTGAAGATAAACGCCCAACAACTTTATTTAGAGGCAGAGGAAGATTTACAACGATCACTACTACCGAAGCTATAAGTCAAACAACGACTACTGAACCTACATTTACGCAAAGACGTCCTACTTTCGCTAGATTTACTCCGCGACCATTTGCCAGGCCGACATTGAGGCCATCGATAAATAGAGAAAGATCTGAAGGAGTTATATCCCCAAGAATTCCCCTTCGAGCATCTTTTGGAAGAGCAAGATTATCTACACCGGTTCCAAACAACTCTATAGGGATTCAGCCCCGAAGGTTACCGTTCCCCTCTAGATCTACAACAACTACAACAACAACGACTACGGAACAAACATTTACTACAGAAATAGATGACGAGGAATTGGAAAATAAACGCGATGATATTTACCTATCAGAGAGTGCAATTGAAGAAAAGGAACATAAAGATGATAATCAAAATGAAGAGTATAGCACCACAAATGTGGAGGCAACGGAAAACCTAACAAACAATAGATTTTCAACTACAGAAAGCTACGGTTTGGGAGAAACTGTTACGAGTGAAACTGGTACAAGGAAGTTTAAAGTGATAAGACGACGTCCTACTACAACGACAGTTGCTCCAGAAACTACTCCAACAGCAGATTTTACAGATACTACAATATCTACAGTACCAAGAATACGAAAAATTATACGGAAAAAAATAAAGCCACTTGACGGTAACATAGAAACAACGACCAAATTTATGACTCCTGACACGTTTAAGGAAATAACGAAATTGGCGCTTAACTATGGTGAAAAGACTAAATCAACCACAGTAACACCTACCACTACAGAAAGTCAAGACGTCGAAGATTTACCTATAGAGCCCAAATTTGAATCGAACAAGCAAAATCCAAAAATAAAAGGAAACAATAGTCACGAAAACCCAGTATCTGAATCTAACGAAGAGGAAACTGCAGTAAAAAGTAATGAGGATGTTAATTCACAAAATGATCAATTAAAACAAACTGATACTGAAACGCCTCTTGAAGAAGAAACTGCTGGAGATTCTGAGTTGAATTCAAAAGATGATCAAAAGAATAATGATGGTGATACGAAAGAAGATGAAGTACCAACCAATGACAACTTGACCAATCTTGATCAAAATGATAAAACGACAGTATCTGAACAAAACGCTAACTTATCTGGTGGTGTTGAAATTACTACATTTGAAAACAAAACGGATATTACACCTGACGTTGAGAATACGGAGAACTTAAAAGAAAATGATACGATTTCCAATAACAACAAAAACATTAGTAGCGCTCAGTTAGATAATCAGAAATCAGAAAACGAAGCCGTCAATGGGACCATTCCTTTATCATCAGGCGAGAATGCAGAGGTTGTAATAGAATCGAATGATAAAGGTATTGATTTATCAGAGACATCAGAATCTCCAGAAGAGTTTTCGACACCGGCCAATGATACAAGCGAAAATGAACCGATAACTACGACAAGTACTACGGCATCACCATCGTCATCGGTTCGAACAAGACTGCCGTATAGACCACCGAAGAGATTATTTACTTCTACAACAGAATCTTCTTTACCATCAAGCAGCAGAACTTTTAGTCGTAAATATAATCCTGGTGCATACACGAGTCCTGCTACTATAGAAAGAGAACCATTTAAGCCATCTGTTACACGAAGACCCTTATTTTCACGTACATTCACAAGAAAACCATTTACGGCAAGAACTACAAAAAGAGTAGAGGAGGATGAATACTCTGACGAAGAATTACTCGAAGAAGAAGGCTTAGATGAAGAATCAGAAAATCCTTTCGTTTTTGTTCCTCCTAGTCAACTATTTACAAGAAAACCTGATTCAGAAGAAGAATATGAAGATGAAGGAAACGACGATTTTGAAGAGGGATTGGAGGAGGAAGAGATATATGATGAAGAACAGACAACAACGCCACAAACGACAACCGTTGGTAGGTTCACAACATCTTCAAGAAGACCACTATTTAGACCCAGGCTAGTAAACTCAAATACATTTAGAACTTCTACAACAACAACAGAGTTACCTAACACAAGAACAAATGCGACACAATTACCCAAACGTACGTTCAATAATGGACAAAATAAAACAGCTGTGTACAATAGATTCAGTTCAAATAAACCTGTTAACGACACGAAAAAACGTGTTCAGAATGTACCGATAGGCTACAATACTCCGAAAGTTATATCTGAAATTAATGCGACAAGTTCTGCAAAGGTTGATGACAAAATATCGACTGTCAGTCCCGAGGCAAGTGATAGCGAATTAACTACCGTGCAAAATGAAATTACTACTTCAAGTAACGAAACTTCAACACAACCTGAATCGCATAACGTTGAAACTACTAATACGATTGAAAGTCAACCAACAACTGACCCAACAGAAGTTGATACAGATGAATATTTGGAAAACACAGATGCCGGTGTGACTGAATCAAGTCCAGAAAATTTAACCACACACAGACAAACGGAATCCCTGCCAATAACCACCACCACCACCACCACCATTGAACCACCAACAACAATAGCGATAACAACATTATCAACAGAGAAAGAAACTTTTACTGAACAAGTACCTGAAACCACAACCATTGCTACACCACTACCACCTATAGTGAAAACCCAGTTCAACAAACTGTTTTCTATAAGCAGAGTAGTAGAAGTGTCGTCTAAGCAAGATAAACACCATTTGAATAAAAATAATGAAACTACATCAATTGAAGAAGGACCTATTATTATTGAAAAGAAACCAACCGTTGACAAAATCGGGGAAGTAAGTCGGTTCACTCTAATCAAAATAGTTGAAGATGAAATTCCAATTTATTTGACCAAACTTGGACACGTTTATCCTGTGGATAATCCTCCTAATAACCCAATACGTATCGATGAAGCAAGAAATGCTAGATCGCTAGGAAGCGGCAACTATCACAGAGAAAGTCTTGTTGCGTCTGAAAGTATGAACGAACCTTACAGGCACATCAAGGAACATTCCAATCAACACAAAGATCCACCACTCAAACGTGAAGTTGAACACATAAGTGATGATGATTTCTTAAGTTACATTAATGAAGATAAAAAAGGTGATAAGGTAGAAGAAAATCAGAATTATCAATTTATTCCAGCTGCATATGAAAATGAACAAAACAGAAATGCCAAAAAATATGAAATAGTGACACCACGTATTATGCGAAATAATCCATCGACGTTATCATTAGAAGGACTATTTAAAACCGCATCTCCCGCCACACCAAATAAAAAAAAACGATAAACTAGAAAGCCAACCATTCTTTGTATATTCAATAGCAGATCCTACTGAAAGTACCAAAAAAGCTGAATCTATAAAACCTGAAACAAGTACCGTGTCTTCTGAAAAGAAACAAGATTCTAAATTTGTGGAATCCACTACATTATCTCCAAAGGAGATTGTGGAAAAGCCTGTCAATATTTCTACACAATTGACGTCTTCTAAAACGTCAGTCAAGAACATAACTACAAGTCCTGTCATCGATCTTTTATCTACAAATCAACCAATATTAGGAAAAGAAGCTAAAAACGTAACTGAAACATCAACAACCACAGAAACTAAAACAGACACGAGCACTCCAAGAAGCTTACTAAGAGATAATAAAAAATCTAAATTTCCCTTTATAAGACGACCTAATATAAAAGCTAATCTGACAAGACCAATTGAGACTCAAAGAACAGCTAAAAAAATAAGTACCTCCGTCAAATCTAATTCTATTCAAAAAACTAATAAAACATCCACATTTACTCCGAGTAAATCAAGATTTTCCGCTAGTAGAGCTCAAAACATTCCCGTAGATACCAGAAAAAAGACTACTGTTAGCAAATTTGTACCAAAAATTACCACTGAAACTCCAAAATTAACAACGAAGAAAACTTTCGTAAGACCGACAAGACAAACTTTCCGACCCGCGTTCATACCAAGACGAAGTACACCAACAACAAATAAAGACCTTGCACTGTAGTCAATAAAAGTTATATTTGACTGAATCCATTTCTGTGCCTTCACTTATAAATGTTTTATTGAAGATTTTCTTCTTCCGATTCCGATTAAATTTGTTGATTTAAAAGTGAATTTTGTCCTCTTGGAGATTACTTGTACATATAGAATTGTCTCTACAGTTTTTATAGTCATATATTATAAAATCTTATAGCTTTAAATTAGGTTTATTTACCTGAAAGTGTTCGTACCAAAAATGTATATTGTTATTAGTTTATTTGATGTACGAGAACTTTCGAATACAAATTGTCGTAGGTTAGTATTAGTGTTATTATTTAAAATATATTCTAGTTCATACTAACATCTTTCATAATCGTTACCAATAATGGAATAATGTATAATATGAAATAAAATTGGGCATATTGTTTAATATCGGCTAAAGATGTTTTGTAACAAAAGGAAATAAAGGTGTGCAATAAATTGGTAGTGAAAATACTTTTATTATTTTTACACATAAGTTGTGTTAATTTTTATATAAAAATCTATTTATTTAATGAAGATGGTTTTAAAAAGGTGAGTTTTTATTTATT